ACACCGGCAGTCGGACATCCTGGGATCAGGCCTAAACCAACAGTCGACATCCCCCAAAGGGTCCGAGATTGGAGAGGGTGCAGGTTGGGCTGAGGGACACCTCCTCCCGTGCACGAATTTCGTGCACCGGGCCACTAGTACAAAATAATACTGAATGTAAGTTGTAATTGAAAAAAATTAAAAAGTTATAAAAAGAAATTTAGGGAGTAAAATTGGATATTAAGATAGAGGATAGGGAGATAAAACAGTGATTTCCATGTTTTGGGCCCATATAACCAAATGATGGTCATGCCTTTATTGAATTTTGAAATACAAGAAAAATACTAGATTTGAGATGACGTTAGGTTTTGAAAATGTCAAATTTGGATGTCTTTGAAGATATCAGGACAAGATCTTAAACAGGCAATTGGATATATGAGAAATATAAAAGAATGAGTTCTAGGCTTGAGATAAAAAATTGAGAATCTTTGACAATGTAGAAGATAACTGGAAGCAGGAACTTAGATGAGATTACCTCTTCCAAACTAAACTTCAGTATATGAAGTAATATACCTTGCCTGTCCCTATGTAATCTCCCAGTTTACTGCTTAACCCATTGCAATCTGACTTCTACCCTCTCTGCCCTATTGGTGCTGCTCTTCCCAAGGTCACTAGTGACTATTTCAATGCTAAACACAATGGACAATTGTCAGCCTTTACTTTTTTACCTCTTTGTGTCATTTGAAGCTGTTAACAAGTCCTTTTTAAAACTTTCTCCTCTTTTAGATTCTGCTATATCTCTTGCTTTTGGATTTTCTCCCATCTACTTGACCATTTTTAGCAGTCCCATTCATTTATGAACTTTCTATTTGCTTTTTCCCAGGGCTCTCCTCTCTTTTTCCTACGCTGGAGGGATGGAAAATTTAGATCCACAGGAGCCAGGACATGAAAATGAGTGTGAAATAGACTACTTTCACATTAAACATATTGCACATGGAACCATTATGTGTATAGCAATCCCTTTGTTTATATATAAACAGCAGTATTCTTTACTGCCACAAATAATCATATGGGCCCAATGTAGCCATATCTTTCAATTTTTTTAGTAAATTTTAATTTATTTATCTTTATTGTTAAAAGTATTACAGATGACCCCCTTTCCCCACTGACCCCCTCAAAGTTTTTAAGAGGCATAAAATATGAATTTTTATGTGAATATTTCATTTTTTTATATTCTGATGGATTATTCAACTCCATTTCTTTTTTTATACACTATTCTGGACAAATAAATGTTGAAAAGCCTCATGTAGATATTGGCTGCCAAATAGCTATCTCTACTTGAGCAGTTGTATCTGTTCCCGTGGTCTTAACCACTGTCCTAGGTTCATGATTTTTATATCTACTTCGCAGATCCAAAAGCTCACTCCATCCATCTTTCTAAAACACATATCCCTTTGGCCATCCCAGTGACCCTCTGACGTAACATTTCCTCTACCCTCTGAATCAATTTCTATTCTACCCAGTCACCTAAACCCGATTATTCTCTCCCTTATCAACAAACCCAATTGTTGGATTTCTGTCTTTACTATCTTTTAATAACTCTCCTCACCTTTTATTTCTGTTACTAATTCCACTATTTTTATTTAGACCTTTATTAACTCTCTCCTGGATTACTATAGTAATAACAGTGGCAAGCAGTATAGCATAGTGATTAAGATAATAGACTCGAGGCAGACTGCTAGTTTTGCACTTACTAGATGTGTGGTCTTGGATGAATTATTTAATTTCTCTGAACTTCAGTTTCTTGTCTATAAAATGGAGATATTAAGAATATATACTTTTTAAGGTTGACATGAGGATTATATGAGTAAATGTATGTACATCACTTAAAACAGTGAAGAATTTGCTATTATTATTATTAGATTACTTTCTTCCTCTGTGCCACCCACTACTTCTCTTTATTTTATTGTCATACTTGTACTATTGCATTGTAAATGTTGTATATGACACTCTCCTTAATTAGACTATTAGCTCCTTGGAGGTTTGGATTATGTCATAATTACTTCTGGTATCCCCAATACTTAGCAGAATGCTAGACACAAATAGGTGCTAAGTCAATATTTTTGCTTGTACTAAATAAACCTATTTGAGACTCCTTTATTTAATTTGGAATTGAATAATTGCTACACCACACATGATCATTGGAAAGATCAAATGGGAAGACAGATGTGAAAGCCACTAAGCAACTATCAAACTGTAAAGACTTCATAGTAGCACTTCGAAGTTTGCTTGGAATTTTGCAGGATTGGTTTGTGCCTCTTTTCATTTTGGGGAATGAATTAAAGACTTTGCTCAAGGTCACAGCCAATAGTTTTATGGGTCTTCTGTTAAATTACTAGCAAATAGAATTCCTCTAACAAAGTTTCAGGTGAGGAGAATAATGTGTGTAGTCACTAAACTGTGGGACTCAGAAACTTCAGCCTTGCTATGCACAGAACTGAGAATCTGTGGCCTGGGAACTCCCTTCCCAAAGGAACTTACAGTCTTCATTACTTTCAGGAATCTTTCTGAACCTGTCATGACCTATAGACTACATAAAGAGCTGGTCTCTGCTGCCAGTAAGTATTTATGTTACCAGTTAATTGTGTTATCCCGGTTTCTTAATATTTACAGCAATAAGCCTAGAAAACTGCTTGAGGGAAAGTAATTGAGCAGGCAGGGGGGAATACATAGATTTTTATGCACTGCCAAATGAATGTATTCTCACTTGCTGTCTAATTCAAATGCTGTATTATTTTTCATAAGTCAATGATAGTTGAATGGTTTGGAGAAAACTAGCTAACTTGAGGGATGTGATAGGTTATTGATAAATTGTGCCTCTTCCATTGATCCAGAGACAGAGAAGCATCGATCAGATGCCCAAACCTCAGAGGGAAGGTAGGGGAGGGAGGGGGTAAAGGGGAGAGATCAACCAAAGGACTTGTATGCATGCATGTAAGCCAAACCAATGGACACAGACACCAGGGGGTTGAGGGCGTGAGCGGGGGGAGAGGGGGCAATGGGAAGATAAGGACACATATGGAAAACCTTAATCAATAAACAAAAAAATTTAAAAGAAAGAAAAAAGAAAAAAAAAGAACAAGAGCATTAGCTCACACTACCAGGGGACAGCATAATGGTTCCATTAAGCTTGCTGTTTCAAGTTGTTTCCAGCATTTTTTCCTTTTCCAATTCCTTTTAATTGTGTTGTGAGTCTTTACTCCTAATCTGTTATAGCAGCATGTTTTCTATATGTTAAAACTGCAAGTGACAGTGGAGAGGTGCATGGGTTATAAGGCATATAGAATTACCCCAAAAATTGGCTGCTGAAGAAGCATTAAAATTTTTGACCCTAAGTAGTACCTACTGGATCTAATGTGTGGCATGCAGGAAAAAGAATCATGGGGCTTGTCCTTAAAATGAATGTTTGTTGAGGCAAGATACGTATTAATCTTTACTCTGAGCCCTCTAGGTGATTTTCTTAAGAACCACAAGGATGGTGGGTGGGCAAAGGTTTCCATCTGAAAATTTACATGTGGAATGTTAAGAGTGACCTTTTGTACCCCAAATTCTGAATTCTTCTAAGACAGTCTTGTTTTTTCTTCTCATATTTCTCCTCTCTGTTCTAATTTCTTCATCTTCCTAGGCCTATCTTTTTTATTTCTCTTTTTTTTTGCCTTTTGGTCTGTGTCTTCCTCTAGCTCTCTGTCACATTGTCTTTGAGTCTTAGTATATTTTTTGCCATTGTGTTTCTGTGCTTATTTATCTTTCTGTCTCTTTTCATTTCTCTAACACTCTCTTATTATTTATCTTTGCATGTACACATGTGTGTATGTATGAAAGTTTACTTGATACCATTGCCCAGAAGGCAAACCTCTCTCTGTCTCTGTTGTCTCTCAGAGTCTGACAACCTGGATTATCGACTGGGAGCTATTCACTCCTTGGTATATAAGCTACCAGAAAAGAACCGGGAGATGCTGGAACTTCTTATAAGACACTTGGTCAAGTAAGTAAATTCTGGGGTTTCATAAAGAGTTCATATTAGAGGACTGGCTCACATGGTAGCACTGCAAAGAAATTTCCTGTCATATCTAATTCCAAGTCCTCAATTGCTTCATCCTGTACATGCTGAGTGTTCTTTAAGGAAGATGAATTTGCCTGGATCCTAGTCTGTGTTGTCCCAAAGTCATCAGGCATCTCATTTGAGGGGTTGTTACAACTGAGACAATCCCGCCAGGTACAGTGGATCTGAACACAGGCCTTGCTCTCAGATAAACCTGGTTTGTTGCTCCAACTCTACCATTTATTTATTTGGAAAATGTTAAGCAACCCTCAGCCTCTGTTTGGTCATCTCTGAAATGACAATAATATTGCCTACCATGCAGCAGCATTGTTGTGTGGATTTGAATGTACACAGGTAAAGTGCATGGCACTCAGGAGGCTTTCAAGAAATGGGGATTATTTTTAAGATTATAGTCAACTTCTTGCTTGGGTGTGGAAGGACAGTACAGACAGCAGCATTCCAGAGAATAGGGCTGGTAATGGGCTCTAAGATGGGTGTGTGTAAGGGGCATGTGTGCCCCACTTCAATGCTTCCTGGCCAGAGGATTCGATTATGTGAATAAAGACAAATTTACTTGACTAATAAATGGCCAATTGCTGCGTCTTTGGAAGCAGTATGGTGCAGCAGAAAGTAGTATCTCCAAGAGTCAGCAAACCTAGATTCTAGTTTCAGTTCTGTTGCTAGCTTTCTTGATTATCATGGGCAGGTCACTTTCTAGGACACTCTTGGTATTTTAAAAAGTAAAGAAATAAGGCAATAATCTTAGAAAAAAATTTATGCATTTTCAGTGTATTTAACAAAATAAAGTACCCACACATTCACAAAAATGCGGTGATGATATACTTCAACCTCATTTGGAAAGGATCTCAAATACCGAGAATTTATGTCCTTTGTGAAGGTGATTCTTCCGGCTAAGTGGCCCTCCTTGTCTCCTTTTGTGACAAATCCTGGTCACTCTGCATCATTGGATCTTGGGTTACTTGTTATATAATGAAATATCTCTGAGATCTGCTTCAGCTCTGGCATTCTACATTTTTTAAATGAGTATTACAGACACTAATGTAGATAAATAGACTTGACAAGAGGATGGCTTTTATATTTGTTGCCAATGTTTGCAATTTGGGCTACTAGAGTATATTAGGAAATATTTTCTTTGTGAATAAGGTTATTTGTGATGATCTCAGTAATAAGTACAAAAATCAGCACATACGCCATTTCAATGTTAATTTGAAGTTGCCCTGGGGAAAACAGTCTTTGTGTTCAATTTCCAGCTCTATCACTGATTTGCTGTATGACCTTAAGAAAGTTCTATCTACTCTCTGGGCCTCAGTTTGTTCATTTATAACATGAGGGTACTAGACTAGCTAATCTCAAAATGTTCTTCCAACTGATTTTTGAAGAGTCTCAATATGTGAATAAAGCAGTCAAGGACTTGGTTGAGGATTCTCCTGTTAGCAATGGGTGAGTAACACCTTCCTCCATCCACCCAAAGGTTGGCCACCTGCCTTACTATAAGAATCTTGGTTCTTAAAATCCCTAAAACAAAATAAGCAAGAGACAGAACAAACATACAGGACAAAGAAGTAGAAAGACAAATACCCTGAAAAAAATGAAAAAAGCTAATCAACTTTACTCATAATAAGAAAAAATGCAAATTAAACCTAAACTGAGATACCATCTTTTGTCAAATCCTAAGGTGTTACTGTATTCTCTGTTGATGGCAGCAGGTACTCTAATACACCAGTCGCCAAATGGTGGTCCGTGGAACGCTGGTGGTCCGTGAGTTCTGAAAGGTTGGCAACTGCTGCTCTAATATATTGCTGGTGTTAATGCATATAGACCTAGAGGAGGGGGATATGGAAATATCTAACAAATCTGCATGTTGTTACCCTTTTACACAGCAATCTCAATTCTAGGCATTTACTTTGAAGACACCTCCACAAAACAACATATACACGAGGTTCATCATTGCAGCATAATTTTTAATAACAAAAGATTGGAAACAACACAAATGTTTAATACTAGGGGACTAGTTAAGTAAATAATTCAAACAGTGTGGTCATAAAAAAGAATGGGAAAAAAAATCTATGGATTTTGTTTTTGTAGTGATATCCAGGATGTTTTTATAGTGACTTCCAGGATGCGTTACAAATTTTCAGCATATAAAACAGACAGCAACAATAAGAAACACCCAAGTTGTAAAACAGGATATATATATATAATGTACCTTTCTTGTTTGAAAAAAGAGGGAAATAAGAATATAAACACATATTTCCTTACCCTTGTCAAAGGAAGCACAGTAAGATAATTAAAAAAACCCAATGACTCAGAATGCTAACATATTTACCACAAGAACCAGCAATTGTGCTCCTAGGTATATACTGAAGAGAAATGAAAATATATGTTCACACAAAAAAAGAAAATATATGTCCACACAAAAAACTTGTGCACAAATATTCATAGTAGCATGATTCATAGTTTCCCAAAGATAAAAACAACTCAAATGAGACATCAACTGAAGAATGTAAAAATAAAATGTGATGTAAACATACAGCCATGAGAAGGAATCAAGTACTGATATATAGATAAACCTTGAAAACATTATGCTAAGTGAAAGAAGCCAGACACAAAAGGACACATTATATGATTCCATTTACATGAAGTGTTCACAGTGGACAAATCTATAGAGACAGAAAGTAGATTAGTGGTTGCCTAAGGCTGGGACCTGGAAACATGGGAGGAAATGGGGAGTGATGCTAACGGTTATGGGTATTTTGTTTTGTTTCTGAGTGGTGGAAATGTTCTAGGATTAGATAATAGTGATGTTTACACAACTCTGAATATACTAAAAACATTGAATTGTACCCTTTTCCCTTTAAAATGGTGAATTTTGTGGTATGTGAAATATATCTTAATAAAGCTGTTATAAAAAACTAATTAAAATGATTACTAAAGAAGGCAGGTGGTAAGTAGAGTGAAAAGGATATGGATGAATCCTCAAGTCCACCTTTTCTGTGGTTTAGACTTTTTTGAAAAATATTTTTTTAT